GGGGGGGGGGGGGAGGCTCAGGACAAGACAGGGGTCAAGCCGAGGGGGGCCAGGGGACAGGAAGAGGGTTTGTGGAAGGTATAGGCAGGACAGAGTCACTGGGTGGCACAAATGGTTAAGCACTTGGCTGCTAACCAAACAGCTGATGGTTCGAGTCCCGGCAATTGACTTCTGAGAAATCAGTGATTGAAAATAGAGCACACAGTTCTACCCAGACACGCACCAAAACTCAACCCGATGGCAACACCTGGTATAGGAGGGACACCGGCTTGGAGCAGGTGAATGGCCGTAACCGAGAGGAAGCCAATGAACACAGACAAGGGCGATCGTGGCGGCCCTTCTCCCTGGTCTAAAATCTCCCAAGGCATCCCCTTGCTCCTAACCAAATTCAAAGTGGCTTCTCCTGGCCTTTGAAGCCTCCTTCCCAGGGCCCTTCCCTAGGCACTGGCCAGTCTCCAAACACAGCCACCAGCCTTTGTCCAGCCTGCTCCTTCCCCATGACAGGCGCAGCAGGACACCTCCCTCAGGAAGCCTCCTCCCTCCAGCAAAGATGTGTGGTCCCTTCTCCAAGTACTGCCCACAAGCTGCTTCCAACGGCCTCACCCTTGCTCGGCCTATGCTGACCCGGGAGAGGCAGCTGTGTGTATGTCTTATCTCTCCTGGGAGTAAAAGCCAGGACAGACCTGGATACAAATTCAGGGTCAGCCAGGGCCCAGCTGCGTGACCCAGGGCACACGACTCCCCACTCTGTACCTCAGTTTCTTCATCTGTTGGATGGGGATGTATGATCCTCAAAAGGATCAAATAATGCATGAAAGCACCCACTGGTCAAGGCAGCAACCCTCCCGGCAGCCCTGGGAGTCCATGGATGCCCTGAGGGCACTGACTCAGCTCCTCCCCCATCCCCCCTCTGCTCCCCGCTTGAAAGGGAGGCTGCTGGCTGATGACAGGAAAAGCCAGCAGGGAGGTGGCAGGATGTGCGGAGGCTGAGGAAGTCCAGGCGGCAGCAGGTCATCACACTCCGAGTGCCACGCCCCCCAGCAGCCTGGCCCTCTTACCAGAGTCTCCACTTACTTGACTAGGAGGGCACGGGCATGCACAAACACACACTCTGCTCACCCTTCTCCAGGAAGTCCACCAGGCTGTCAGAAGCTCCTTAAAACACTGGCTTGATGCCCAAAACAGCCCAGCCCCTCCCTTCCATAACATCAAGCCCAGGGAGCCACACTGACCGGCAAAGAGCCTACTCTTTCTCTCACACTCAGATCTCGGATAAGCCACCAACTCCCCTGCCAAGCCTCAGTTTATCCCACTGGGAAATGGGGTTCACAGTGACCTCAGGTGTGAGATTCAACGTGATCGTTAGGGCACTGGTATTAATTGACAGAGCTTGGGTAAGGCCCATGTCCAACGGAAAGACAAGCCCCTCCACTTCGGCCCTCATGCTGTAGCCCTCCTCCCTGGGCACGCTGCCCGGCCCCACCTTGCCCCACCCAGGGCCCCAGCGCTCCTGCCAAGTCCCAAGAAGAGGAGGGCACAGAATCCCACCGTTCCAGCAGTCCCAGGATGGGCTCCCGGGCAGGGTGGGGCGGGGTGGCCCCTTCTCACCCACTCATCCCGGGGCCAGCGTCCACAGGGGCGGGCACCCTCCCCAGGCCCGGGTCAGAGCGACCTGTCGAGGCGGCGAGCGCCTCCACCCGGCCTCAGGCGAGAGTCCAGCCTCAGGCCAGGCCCAGCCCATTCCTCCACACAGGCCGGGAGCCCTGGGTGTCTAGGCCTGGCAGTTTGGGAGAATCCTACGGGACTAGGAAGAGCCACCCCGAATCCGTCCAAGACTGGCCCCCGCAAAAGTTTGGAGGAGCTGCCTGGGAGATGGGAGTTCTCCTCTCCTCCGAGTCGCCTGTGTTCCTGGCGCCCGTGAAGCTGAGAAAGAGCTTGCCGGAGGTGAGGGAGGTGTGCCCGGCTTTGCCTTTGGAGTCACCCTGCGTTCCGGCCGAGATCAACTCTCGCCTCTGGGAAGCGAAGAGGGGGCTGTCTCGGCTCAGCCTCGGGTCGCCGATCTCATACCGGCCGGGGGCCGCGGAGGGACGGTCGGGGGGCACTCACCGTCATGGCGGCGTCCCGGGGCGGCGGAGCAGGAGGCAGAAAGGTGGAGGGGCTTTCGGGCCGGGCTCAGCGGCACGGGGATCCCGCCGCCG